AAGGTAAGAGTCTTGTATTTCATAAAGCAGTAAACTATCTGTTAAACGTGATTATATATAGAGTATATATAAAACACCAATGTCATGCTTAACCTCTTGAATCTGATTTATATTTTTTCTTGCTTGCTTTTTACTTTGTTGCAAATTTTAAATTAGTAGATATTTTTTAATACATGAACACCACTTTTTCTTCTCATGCAGGCCACTTTGGGACAGTTTATCATGGATACCTGAAAGACAGCAATAGGGAAGAGTTTCACTGCGCTGTTAAATCACTGAACAGTATGTTAACATCTACAGTACTTTAATAAGAAAGTCCTCAGTATATGATCTCTTGGCTGGTAGACTTGTTTGTATAACAGTATTTTTTTAAATAGCAGGAATCACAGATTTGGAGGAGGTGGACCAGTTCCTCAGAGAAGGCATCATCATGAAAGGTTTCCACCACCCCAACATACTGTCTTTGCTGGGCATCATGTTGCCTAAAGAAGGGCTCCCTCTGGTGGTTCTGCCATATATGAAGCACGGGGATGTGCGTCATTTCATCCGTTCTGAGAAAAGGGTAAATTACTCTGAAGGTTTCTGGAGCAGTAGGGTCATGACTGTGAATATTTGTTTTGTTGACCTGCCAAGAGAATTTTAATACTGCAGACCATAAGCTTTGGTTCATTCATTTGTCCTTTACAGAACCCAACAGTGAAAGATCTTATTGGCTTTGGACTTCAAGTTGCCAAGGGGATGGAGTATTTAGCGCAGAAAAAATTTGTCCACAGAGACCTGGCTGCACGTAACTGCATGTGAGTGTGAATGACATACTGATGACAAGTCAGTGGAAAGGTTTTGGCCATTTTACTGTCTTTAGAAAAGTTAATGGTCATCTGCAAGTTCAGTTTTGGTTGATATTGTTCTGCAGTTTACAGCACAAAAAGGCTGATTAATTCCAAGATCTAACATGGGGTTCTTCACAAATTTAGTCCGGATAATGACGATAAACATGTCTGTTTCTGTACCTGTAACATGTCTACAATATGATTGTGAGATAAGTTGAACCACTTTAATAGGTAAAGAAAGAAAATACTGCCCTGTGGATCTTGCCTAGAAATAAGTGCAACCATATTTAGTGAAGCAAACAGATGACCTTGTCCATCTGAAAGCCTCTTAGGATAAGAAATATTTGAGACACTGGTAGTATAGTGTCTATTTTTGTGGGCTGCTATTTGCCCATACATGTTAAAAGAGTAGTTTGACATTTTGCAATATACACCTTTTTGCCTTCTAGCAAAGAATTATATAATACTATCGAGACCAATCTCATTTTCTGTTGTTTCTCACTGTCTGCATCCCATGTGTGTAATTGGATCATCATCGACACAGATCTTCAAGATTGGTGTAAATTTAAGTGTACTTGGCTTCTCTCAAGAACATCTTGACTTTAGTGATGCTCCTTTCTTAAGATGCCTTTTCTTTCCAGGCTGGATGAAACATTCACAGTAAAGGTGGCTGATTTTGGGATGGCAAGAGACATCTATGACAAGGAATACTATAGTGTTCAAGATCACAAACGGGCAAAGCTACCAGTGAAGTGGATGGCCATTGAAAGCCTGCAAACACAGAAGTTCACGACCAAGTCTGATGTGGTGAGTGTACTTAATCCAGGACAGAAAAATATCTATACATCTGTTATATTTGTATCTACAATTCATTTCTTATCTGTTTTCCAGTGGTCATATGGCATCTTAATGTGGGAGCTGATGACCAGAGGTGCTAGCCCATATCCAAATGTGGACCCCTATGACATCACACTCTATTTGATGAAGGGACGTCGGCTTCCACAGCCACAGTTTTGCCCCGATGCTCTGTAAGAATCATACCAGCACCCTATAAGTATAACATAACATAATGGGATTGCACAATAGCTTCAGCATGTTGTAATTTAAATTTCTTCAAAATACTAGGTTCTACATTATCATACTGTATGTCAGTTTTGTCTTATCTGTTGTATATATCATTCAGTAGTTTACTCACCGATGTCCGTATGTACTGAACCATTTATTTATTCATTCCACAGCTATTTGGTCATGCTACAATGTTGGAACCCAGAGCCCGAGTGCAGACCTAGCTTCAATAGCCTGGTTACAGAAGTGCAGCACATTCTGTCCTGTCTGGAAGGAGAGCACTACATTAATCTGAAGGTTACTTACGTCAACTTAGACAATACAATGCCTTACCCCTCCATGACTGGATCTGCAGATGAGGCTGAGGCATCAGACTTGGACATAGACAGTAATTCTGCAAGCTGAGTGTCCTAGAGCCCTAAGACTCTCTGATAGTACCCAAAATCAAATTTGGAAAGCATACAAGAGGAGGGACAGCTTGCCTCATCTCATAAATTGTATATGGAGGGTTTGGTTACTATTTTAAAAGACGCTGCAGGTACGATAAACTCTTATTGAAGCTCAGACAAAATCAAGCTGGAAGTTCCCTGTCTTACTACATTTTATCTGGAGCAAAACTGAGACAGCTTGTTGACTGAAGTAAATGTTTGAATTCTTTCTACTAAACATCTGAAGCACAAGTGAAAATGAGACTGAATGTGTGTAACGTGTGTGTGTGTGTGTGTGTGTGTGTGTGTGTGTGTGTGTAAAAGATTTACAAAACATACTATATATCTAAAGCAATATGTATGTATATATATATATATACACACATATATACACACACACACACACAGTTGCAAGAGAAAGTAATGGCACTGTTTTCAATTTTTTGGTTTTCTGCATAAATTGGTCATGAGATGTGTTTTGATCTTCATCAAAGTCACAAATATCAATAAACAATATGTACATGCTGATAAAGCACAAACAGTCATGATCTTTCATACCCTTTATTAAACACACCCAGTTAAGATACAAGGTGATGGTGGAAAAGGTTATGTCAGCACAAGGCTTCTGATGGCAGTAAATGTCAACTGGACTCAGGTGTTAGCAAACCTGGAGTCAATCAATGACACAAAAATGGAGTTGTGGTTTGGAACTACCTTGACTTATAAAATCACTGTGTCCGTGTGCTCGTGTGCTCTTCACAAGCAGCATCAGCTGATGTGAGCCAGGTCTCACAAAAAAGAGGTCTCAGAAGACCAACGATCAAGAGTTGTTGATTTGCATGTAGCTGGGAAGGGTTACAGAGTCATCTCAAAGACTTTAGATATTCTTCAGTCCACAGTTAGACATATTGTCTATAAATGGAGATGATCCCGTACCGTGGCTACTCTCCATAGAAGTGGGCACCCAGCCAAGATCACTCCAAAGGCACAACACAGAATTCTAAATGAGGTAAAAATGAACCCTAGAGCAACAGCTAAAGACTTGAAGAATTCACTGGAGTTGGTTCTCTGTTCATCAGTCAACCATATGCAAAATATTGAACAGGCATTGTGTTCATGACAGGACACCATGGAGGAAGCCATCACTCTCCAAAAACAACATTGCAGCATGCCTGAAGTTTACATATTGGAAGAGATAATACTCCATAAACTCAGTTCATTCACTTTAATAAAGTCCTGTATCATAATCTATGTCCTGACTAATTCCACTACAAGATGAGTTTACAAATTTACATACTGTATCGGTCGTTTAGTCCATCCATCATGCAGGTCCACCTTTGATGATAATAAGCACAAGCAAGTGACAATGCTCCTCTATCATTCACTGTGCTAATAATACCATGGCAGCACTCTCCTCAAGTTAAATAATTTCAGCACAAAGGCAACAACAGTCTGTCTGGTTTCTTATCTTAAAGTTCCCCAGAAAGACATCCTGACAAGCAGCAGCCACGTAAGCTTCTCAGAGCAATGCAATGTAATAGACTTGTGTCTATGAAGTGACTTTACCAAATATCTTTAGAAATGCTGTAACGTTGAGAAATGCCATTTTCATTTAAATGTAAAAAAATCAATCAAGAAAAGTGCATTTAACTTGTAGAGTGGCAAACATTATTGACATTTTACTCAGAAGAGTAATGTAAGCATACACAGTTGTGTGTGTGTGTGGCCTTGTTTTTCAATACTTGAGGGGGGGGCCAAAATCCATGAGTTACTATCTTCGTGGGGACCGGAAGTCACTTGCTGGTACCCACAACGTAGTTTGTTGAATTTTATGAAAACGATGGGGTGTGGGGTTAGAGCAAGTGTAAGCTTTGGTTAAGTGATAGGCAAATAGAAGTTCTAGTTAGGGTTAGGGTAAGTCTCCTGGAAATGAATGCAAATCTATGTAGGAACCCGGTAAGTGACAAAAACAAGGATGTGTGATTGTGGTATCCAATAGCAGCCATTTTGAATGCACATTAAAATGCACATTAAAGGAACCAGAACAACTTGCCTTTAATATCTGAACACAGCAGCAGTTAGAAAACTACACATCAGACCAAATCACGCAGTGAGCACCAGAGCAGTTAGAAAACTAAATGGGTACGTAAAATGTAAACATCTGGCTTCCATACTCTGTTCCCCATCTTAGTTTAGAGTGTTGGCATGCTGTAAATTGCTAATTAGAAAAAGCTGACAAAAAAAGACATTAGTTTTGCAGATGTTTAATAATAAATATGCTCTGGACAAATTAAAATGGTTGAGCTGATAATAGTGGAAACTAACTACATATGCAGTATTTTTACTTCACTCAAGTATTTCCATTTTCAACTACTTCATACTTTGCCTCTGAAATGTAGTAAAATCAAATATTGTACTTTTTACTCCACTGCATTTATTTTGTAACATTAGTTACTAGTTTTTTTGCAGATTAGGATTAATTATACAAGTACAGTATAATCATAGGACTTTATTGATCCTCAGATGGAAATTCCAAGACTTCCCAGCAGTATGTAAAGCACATTATAATCACACGAGGTAGTTACTTTACCATCTGCTATGTTAAAGTGATGTACACATTAATGCACTGGTAATTAGAATCCAATAATATACTCTGATCTGAAAATTCTGCAACAGGACTACTTTTACTTTTGGTCCTTCAAGAATATGTTGATTATATCGTTTATACTGTTACTTAAGTAAGGGATCTGAGTATTTCTTCCACCACTGGATGGCGCCAGGTGAAAAGCAAAGGATCACCTAATTGCTAACAGTTAATCCTGAGGGGAACTCTGTTAATGTCTGAGCTGAATTTCATGACATTTCATCGAAACACTGCTCAAATATTTCACTTTAAACCAAAACTGTCTACATCATGGTAGGGCTACAGGTCAGGAGATCACTTAAATCTGTGTAGATTACACACTCATATACATTACATTACATATAGTTACTATTTAGTCAATAATTAATAGTTATATTGTGAATATATGAGTGTGAATTAAAAATGTTCATATAATTTCGGCAAGCCTTCTGTACTCTGTCAGCTCACTGTGTAAATTGTTAAATGTTTGTGTGTGCTCAAGCAAAAACATTTTGAGTTCATGGTCTGTTTGTTTAACCCACTGGGTCATCTTAATCAAACTCAATTTGGGAATTGACATAAAAAAACATGGGATAACAGAAGGGGAGTTGGACACGGTCAGGAGGACATAATAAAAAATTTGTGGATCAGAGGGAAGGGACAGAAGATAGACGGAACAGGAGCAAGCAAGGAGCTGGCTGGGAGGGGAGACAGGAAAGGACTAACTTACTGACTAATTTGACTGATCATGCACAAATAATTCTCTTATTCAGTACTTTTATTTGGTTCACTGCAGAGAAGGTGATTCTATCAGATACCTTTTGATTTACTGTAATAATAAAGGATGATTGGAATTGTAATAATTTGTCTGTGAATTAATTTAGCTCACATCAGACACCAATCAACCTAAGCTTCATGTCTTTGGACTGTGGGAGGAGGCCGGAGTGCCCGGAGAGAACCCACACAAACACAGGGAGAACATGCAAACGCCACACAGAAAGACCCCGGTTCGGCAGGGTCTTGAACCTGGAACCTTCTTGCTGTGAGGCAACAGTGCTAATCACCGCGCCGCTGTGCCGCCCATATAAATTTATTTTTCCTCCACTTGACATGGCGACACTCTAACTGTTCTTCCCTGTTCTTTAAGTCTGCCCTGACATCACTCTTCTCTTGCAGTACATCATTGTGCTAAGTCTCATTGGAGGCTCTGCATTCCTCAATTTCATCTAGCAGGGAGGCTTTCTCCTGTTTCCACTGGAGGTGCTCATTCTCTGCCAGCTCTTTGAATGTCTCTAGATCAGCCACAAGCTGCTGTTCCTCTGTCTTTTGCTGCTCTAGGTGGGCAACATGGCAGCACTGGGTTTGGTTCAGGTCTGCCTGGAGGGAACACACCTCCGACTGCCACTGCTGTCCTGCTTCCTTCTGAGCAGCCCTCAGCTGATTATTCTCAAGACTGAGTTCCTCCAGCTGGGCCTCCATAGAGCTCGCTGTCCTCTCCAACTCCTGCTCCTTTCTCTACAGGGTACTCTTGAGTTCCTCTGTGGTCTGAAGGTGCATTGCCTTTTTCTGCTTATACTTCATTCGAGCCTTTCTCGGGGTATTATTTTGGGTTTTACGGAGACTTTTGTATTTCTTCAGCTGTGTCATGTAGAAGGTTTTATATTTCCTCCACTTGTCATGGCGACACTTTGGCTGTTCTTCCCTGTTCTTTAAGTCTGCCATGACATCACTCTTCTCTTGCAGTAAATTATTGTGCTCAATTTCATTGGAGGCTCCACATTTCTCAGTTTCATCTAACAGGGAGGCTTTCTCCTGTTTCCACTGGAGGCGCTCATTCTCTGCCATCTTGTTGAATGTCACTAAATCAGCCAGAAGCTGCAGTGCATCTGTCTTTTGCTGCTCTAGGTGGGCAACATGGCAGCGCTCGATTTTGTCCAAGTCGGCCTGGAGGGAACACCTCTCCCACTGCCACTGCTGCTCTGCTTCCTTCTGAACAGCCCTCAGCTGATTATTCTCAAGACTGAGTTCCTCCAGCTGGGCCTCCATAGAGCTCTCTGTCCTCTCCAACTCCTGCTCCTTTCTCTGCAGGGTACTCTTGAGTTCCTCTGTGGTCTGAAGGTGCATTGCCTTTTTCCGCTTATACTTCATTCGAGCCTTTCTCGGGGTATTATTTTGGGTTTTACGGAGACTTTTGTATTTCTTCAGCTGTGTCACGTAGAAGGTTTTATATTTCCTCCTCTTGACATGGCAACACTTTGGCTGTTCTTCCCTGTTCTTTAAGTCTGCCATGACATCACTCTTCTCTTGCAGTAAATTATTGTGCTCAATTTCATTGGAGGCTCCACATTTCTCAGTTTCATCTAACAGGGAGGCTTTCTCCTGTTTCCACTGGAGGCGCTCATTCTCTGCCATCTCGTTGAATGTCACTAAATCAGCCAGAAGCTGCAGTGCATCTGTCTTTTGCTGCTCTAGGTGGGCAACATGGCAGCGCTCGATTTTGTCCAAGTCGGCCTGGAGGGAACACCTCTCCCACTGCCACTGCTGCTCTGCTTCCTTCTGAACAGCCCTCAGCTGATTATTCTCAAGACTGAGTTCCTCCAGCTGGGCCTCCATAGAGCTCTCTGTCCTCTCCAACTCCTGCTCCTTTCTCTGCAGGGTACTCTTGAGTTCCTCTGTGGTCTGAAGGTGCATTGCCTTTTTCCGCTTATACTTCATTCGAGCCTTTCTCGGGGTATTATTTTGGGTTTTACGGAGACTTTTGTATTTCTCCAGCTGTGTCACGTAGAAGGTTTTATATTTCCTCCTCTTGACATGGCAACACTTTGGCTGTTCTTCCCTGTTCTTTAAGTCTGCCATGACATCACTCTTCTCTTGCAGTAAATTATTGTTCTCATTCTCATTGGAGGCTCTGTAATTCTCAATTTCATCTAACAGGGAGGCTTTCTCCTGTTTCCACTGGAGGCGCTCATTCTCTGCCGTCTCTATGAATGTCACTAAATCAGCCAGAAGCTGCGGTGCATCTGTGTTTTGCTGCTCTAGGTGGGCAACATGGCAGCACTGGGTTTTGTCCAGGTCTGCCTGGAGGGAACACCTTTCCCACTGCCACTGTTGCTCTGCTTCCTTCTGAACAGCCCTCAGCTGATTATTCTCAAGACTGAGTTGCTCCAGCTGGGCGTTCATAGAGCTCTCTCTACACTCCCACTCCTGCTCCTTTCTCTGCAGGGTACTCTTGAGTTCCTCTGTGATCTGAATGTGCATTGCCTTTTCCTGTTCATAATTCATACAAGCCTTCTCCAGGATATTAATTTGGGTCATACACATACCTACATACTTTTTGTATTTGTTCAGCTGTGTCATGTAGAAGGTGTTGTCTTTCTCCAACTGGACATGGCAACACTCTAGCTCTTCTTCCCTGTTCTTCAGTTCTGCCATAAGATCGTTCTTCTCTTGCAGTAGATTATTGTGCTCAATCTCATTGGAGGCTCTGTATTGCTCAATTTCATCTAGCAGGGAGGCTGTCTCCTGTTTCCACTTGAGGCACTCATTCTCTACCCACTCTTTGAATGTGTCTAGATCAGCCAGAAGCTGCTCTAGGTAGGCAACATGGCAGCGCTGGGTTTGGTCCAGGTTTACCTGGAGGAAACACCTCTCCCACTGCCACTTTTGCTCTGCATCCTTCTGAACAGCCCTCAGCTGATTATTCTCAAGACTGAGTTCCTCCAGGTGGGCCTTCATAGAGCTCTCTCTCCACTCCCACTCCTGCTCCTTTCTCTGCAGGGTACTCTTGAGTTCCTCTGTGGTCTGAAGGTGCACTGCCTTTTCCTGTTCATACTTCATACGAACCTTCTTCAGGGTATTATTTTGGGTGATACACAGCTCGTTGTATTTCTTCAGCTGTGTCGTGTAGAAGGTGTTGTCTTTCTGCAACTGGACATGGCAACACTCTAGCTCTTCTTCCCTGTTCTTTAATGCTGCCATGACATCACTCTTCTCTTGCAGTAGTTTATTGTGCTCAATCTCATTGGAGGCTTTGCATTTCTCAATTTCATCTAGCAGGGAGGCTTTCTCCTGTTTCCACTGGAGGCGCTCATTCTCTGCCATCTCGTTGAATGTCTCTAAATCAGCCAGAAGCTGCTGTGCCTCTTTCTTTTGCTGCTCTGCTTCCTTCTGAACAGCCCTCAGCTGATTATTCTCAAGACTGAGTTCCTCCAGGTGGGCCTTCATAGAGCTCTCTCTCCACTCCCACTCCTGCTCCTTTCTCTGCAGGGTACTCTTGAGTTCCTCTGTGATCTGAAGGTGCATTGCCTTTTCCTGTTCATACATTTCCTGTACATACATACAAGCCTTCTCCAGGGAATTATTTTTGGTCATACACATGCCTACATACTTTTTGTATTTGTTCAACTCTGTCATGTAGAAGGTGTTGTCTTTCTGCAACTGGACATGGCAACACTCTAGCTCTTCTTCCCTGTTCTTTAATGCTGCCATGAGGTTGTTCTTCTCTTGCAGCAGATTATTGTGCTCAATCATATTGGAGGCTCTGCATTTCTCAATTTCATCCAGCAGGGAGGCTTTCTCCTGTTTCCACTGGAGGCGCTCATTCTCTGCTGTCTCTTTGAATGTCACTAAATCAGTCACAAGCTGCTGTGCCTCTGTCTGAGCAGCCCTCAGCTGATTATTCTCAAGAATGAGTTGCTCCAGCTGGGCCTTCATAGAGCTCTCTGTCCTCTCCAACTCCTGCTCCTTTTTCTGCAGGGCACTCTTGAGTTCCTCTGTGGTCTGAAGGTGCATTGCCTTTTTCTGCTTATACTTCATTCGAGCCTTTCTCGGGGTATTATTTTGGGTTTTACGGAGACTTTTGTATTTCTTCAGCTGTGTCATGTAGAAGGTTTTATATTTCCTCCACTTGACATGGCGATACTTTGGCTGTTCTTCCCTGTTCTTTAAGTGTGCCATGACATCACTCTTCTCTTGCAGTAAATTATTGTTCTCATTCTCATTGGAGGCTCCACATTTCTCAGTTTCATCTAACAGGGAGCCTTTCTCCTGTTTCCACTGGAGGCGCTCATTCTCTGCCATCTCGTTGAATGTCGCTAAATCAGCCACAAGCTGCGGTGCCTCTTTCTTTTGCTGCTCTAGGTGGGCAACATGGCAGTGCTGGGTTTTGTCCAGGTCTGCCTGGAGGGAACACCTCTCCTCCAGCTCAGAAGGAGGCAGACCAGCAATCAACTGATTATTCTCAAGACAGCAGTTGTTGAGCTGTTGTTCTTCAGCTTTTATCAGTGTGGCTTCCAGTTTTTCTTTTTCACTTTTTATATTGTTAAATTCACCCTCAGTGGTGGCTGTCAGTTGCTGACACCCTATTTTGTCTATCATTGATCTGTCATAGAAAGGTGAAGGTTCCAGCATTTGTTGGACCTCAGTTTGTTTGCACCTCTTCTTTGTCTTTTTTGTTTTTTTTCTAGTACTGTGTGTACACCCCATAGCGAAACCAAACTTGGTAATGTTATACAGTAGACAATTTCTGAAATCCTTGACTTCTCAAATTCAAATTGCAGCCTCTGTGTGTGTGAACAGTAGCTCCAAACGTATGTCCAAATGTAACCGTGAGATCGTTAGGTGAAGGTTCTCTGTGACGTCATCAATGGAGTTCCTTTAATGTGCGCTCCAGGTTGCTATTGGATACCCCCTCAAACACACCCACAGGCGTCGTAAAAGGGCTTGCCATAACAAAATGTAGTCTATATACAATAGTCCATTCATTTTAATTAGATGGCAAATGGTAACTGTCAATCTATTTTATTTCATTCTATTCATTCATTTCTATTCTGTTTCATTTAACTTAAATAATAAAGTTCAATAGGCCAGGAGGCGTGGCTTTGCTCACTGGGTTTTGCTTATGGACAGTTGGGACATGTCCCTACCTAAATTTGAGCAAATTGGAGTCATGTATCAGAATGATGTGCCTGACTGGCTGCAAGGGAGGAGGTAATGTAACGCTCAGATAATATGCTAATGTCATATTTGCTCCGAGACACTGAGGAGCAATAGCTGTCAGTGTGCTGATAACGGTACGTTTTGATATCTGACTTCCTTATACCTGGAAATATATCCACAGATTCAAAGTTTCCGGTTCAGTACGTCATAAGTAAAACGTTCACAAACAACGCCTCTTTTGTTTCATAGTAATGTATAATACAAGCTACAAGCTAATTTCTGCTCTAGACAAATAAAATAACACTGGTATAGCGTTGCATTCTGGGAGTGACAAAATCAACGGCAGAGAGGCGGCGCAAATACGTAACTTTACTGTATTTGTCAAGGTTGCATGCAGAGCAGACTTGTAGCCAATTTTCTTTTCGAGGATTATCCATCTGAATCCTATACTTTTAAAACTTATCACACAGTAAGTTCAATTACATTTCATCTTTCTGCTGATGTTTGCTTACTAACATCATATTGGCTACTGCAGGATATGGTTCTTATTACCATTGCTAACTCTGAGAGACGAGACAGTCCAAGTAACTTCAAAACAGTGCTGATTTATTCAAAGGATCACAGGTAAAATTAACATTACACGCTCAGGCATCTTGCACCTCCAAACTGCTCACAGGCAGATGTAAGATGAAAGACCCTGAACCCACCAGGCCTATACATTATATCCCCTCGGTTGGGCTAGCCCCATACTACACAGAAACGTCAACCGAGACGTCTCTGTTACCAGCTTTGCAGCTGGCCATAGCAGTAGTCAAAACATGAAGCAAATCAATGTGTGTGTGTATGTGTGTTCTGTTGATTAAGTGGTGTGTAGCTAAAAACATTCTCACGACCTCTAGTAACATGTCGTGACTTAAACATAAGA